AAAAAAAAATGAAAGTGAAAAAGGGGTTCCAACGGTGAAATGAAATGAAAGAGCACCCCGGTACAACGAGTCCTTGGTTGTGAATGGTGTGAGTCCCTTTATCCATGAACTGACTGTCTTACTTCTACTTCTTCTCATGGTCCTGGCTTGAGTCTAGTACTCGCATAAAGAGAGATAGGGAACATCTTAGAAGACCAGTTGACCTCGTAAGCTGCTTTATGATCTAGAAAGTCCTCTACCGATGATCGGGGTTGTTTGTTGCTAAAGAGGTCTGGAGAGTTGCATTGGTTTGAGTCAGGTTTGCTTGGGGACAAGCAAACAGTTAAGTGTGGGGGGGATTTGATGACTCGATATTTGCACATATTTTCCCCTTTGTTTCTTGATCGTTTAAGCTTGCATTATCGCTTCTTTGGCCTATTTTACGCTAGGTTGTGTTCCTTTGTCACATTTCAGGCCCTAGCACATAAAGTGAAACGTAGGCGCAAGTTTCAAGTCAATCGGAGATCATTTGGCAATTCGGGAGAAGAAACACGAGCATGACCTGAGGAATAATGGATTTCTACCTCATATTATGGACAAATTATCATGGAAGATTGTTGTGAAAAGAAAGAGGATGAGACTACGAGCGTCTGGGTTCAAACGGCGACTGATTTGGAGTCTAACGAGGGAGAAACGAAGCTTTGAACAGGAGTGGAGATAGAATTACGGGCAGGAGAATTACGACCGTAATTTGGCCTCCCATGCCCGTATTTTCACTGCCGAGAGGAGCTTTGGGTGTGCTGAAACTTAACCAAAACGCGTGTTTTGGGCAAAATACGGGCATGGAAGAATTACGACCGTAATTCAGCCCGTAATTCGCCCAGAATCGGGTTTTTGAGGCAGATTCGAGCCAAAGGAAAGGGAGAGCTGAGATTTTGGTTCCCAAACACCCAAGGGACGAACCCTATAGAGAGAGAGAGAGCGACTTGGGAACATTCTTGGAGCTATTTTGGAGGATTTCTTCGCCATTGGAGCTCGGGAATCAAGCTTGGAGATGGAGATTGAAGATCTAGATCAGATTTCTGCAGTCTCTCTCTTCTCTATGGAGTAACTTCCCTTCACTTAGGTTTTGAGGAACTCTAGTTCCATGTGTTAGGATCTTTCTTGTATGAAGTTTTGGATGCTATATTGTTTGATTATAATCGATTGAGGCATGATTTATTGAGTGAATTGAATCTTGATCAAATTCTCTTGATTTCTACTTTAACCTATGATAGATAGAATCTGATTAGGTTAAGAGAGCTTCCTTGATTGATAGTGGTGAATTGGTTGTGCGAGAGTCAATCAATTCACTACTTTGTAATGGAATTCATTCCAGTTGTGGAGATCTGTGTGAATCGCCTTAGCAGTCTATCCCGGTGAAGGCTAGTCGTCTGGTGGGTATTCTGTCTGAGAGGGCTTGGTCAGCTTAAGAGATTCCAAGCTAATTTAGGATCTTCCGCAGTTTAATCAACAGTAGATCAACCAAAGGTAATTGCAACTTGGACCTAATTGAGGAGCTAGGGGGAATCATACCTAAGTGAGTCCCCAACTTGTAATTAGTAGAGTAGTCAGTAGAGTAGTTTATAAATCAATCCTTAATCTAGTTTGCTAGATAATGAATTGAAGCTGAGTAATAGTAACTCTAGAGACCCGTGGATTCAATATTTATTACTTGTGCCACTATACTGCAGTCCCTTTCATTGGTTACACTTGGCCATTGTTAGGTGTTGTGTTTTAGCGTGTCAATATACCTCCCTTTAGCCATCGCGGTCTGAGTACCGGTTGCGATACGATTTCCGCTCGGGGGAGCGCCTTCCACGTCAAGCATCTGGGCGCTCTTGTGGATCGCTTCGGGACCGCCCTTGATGGCCCCTATCGTCGGTAGCCAGAGCTTCCTCAAGCAAGATAGCTCGTCGTACCAGTTGATCCAGGTCTGACCATGACGTTAGCATAGCTTCTTTTTTTATCAGTGTTCTCTTAAGCTCGATGCTGGTTGTAGATATCATGAGGTTACCAGCGGCTACGACCGAGGAGATACCATCTATTTCGCAAGCGATCGCATTCCATCGGTCGTAGAACTCCGCAAGCGATTCCTCCTTCTTTTGTCTACAATTTATGAGTGCCGAGACCGTGAGCTTGCGCCGCCGCTGGGACGCGAACTTCGTGGAGAAGAGCAACGCGAATTGCTCGAAGTTTTCTATCACCCCTTCTGGGAGGGAGGTATACCACGTCCGACACTGACCGCTGAAGGTGATGGGAAACGCTCGGCACAAGTCGGAGTTTGAAGCGTTGATGAGCTGCATATTCAACATGAAGGCGCAAAGGTGGTCCACGGGATCTGAGGTCCCATTGTATGCGGGTAGTCCTAGGGAGGAGAATTTTGGCGGTACTGGGGTCTTGAACAGCTCCTTGGAGAGCGGGTTTTGAAGAACGTTGGGACTCTTGTGTTTCCCGTAAGTCGACCATAAATGTTCTTCAAGGAAGCCCAGATCTGCATCTTCTGCCTCCTGTCCCCCGCCTTCTGTCCGAGCAGGGCTGTCGAGGATCAAGGCGGCCTTTTGCTTCTCCTCTCGCGTCCTTCCCCTTGATCCCTCGGGAGGGTCTTCCTTCGTCTTCAATAGTTGGAGGATTTGCGACAGGCTGTCTTGCATGCTTGCGATTTGCATAGCTTGACTTTTGACTACCTCCTCGAGATCCGATTCATCTTCGACTCTCGACGATAGACCTTGGAGGGTGTTGTTCTCGGTCATTCCTTTGAGAGGAGTTTCGAAGTCGTCTCCCATCTTTTCCTGGTGACGAAGTCGTGAGGCCCCACGGTGGGCGCCAAAATGTTTGTGCCTGGTATGTACCGGGCGGTTTTGTGAGGCTTCACTGGCTTGGAGCGGTCTTGGGAGGATGAGAGGCGGCCCTCGAAATCCCGCAAGCAAAGGTCCACAGGGGGTGCCCTGGGACCTCCTCCGATGCCTAAGTCAGAGAGAGAAGTGGATATGGAGTAAATAAGAGAGAGAATGGAGTCGATAGAAGTTACCATAAATGTGATCCTATGAGGGGTATTAATACTAGTCTCGACTGAGCTTCGAGCATTTAATGTTGTGTCGGGCGCTCAAGGACGCCTCTGGATTCCTCCACGCCTCTTGTCAGATTTCGTACGTAGGATCCAGAATGTCGGGCGGTCCCTTGTCGTCAGATCTTGGTATGTAGGGCGGTCTTTTGATATTAGCATCGTCGGACCGCCTTCGCTCCTGTTCTTTCTTTGGGCCTTGCTTGTTCTTGTGTGGGCCTTGAGTGCTTCCTGGGCTTACGGGCCGCGTGGCTCAATGTGTGACCCAACATATTTAATCACTAATTATAAATTATTTATAGAAAACAATCACTGGTGGCGACTTTCCTTGCTGGAATTCTGATGCGGGCTATATGTCTATCGCCTGGAATCGGATTGGGCCTCACCGTTTGATCGTTGGCGTCGGACCATGGCTTCCGGTCCGAACTCCATCGTCGGACCAGTTCCCGACGGCTAGGGCTAGGAATCCAGACCAAACCGTATGAGAAATCGCGGTCTAGACCGTAGCGTATGGTTTGGTCTGGACCGTGAGACCGGAACTATGGTCTGGTCTGGTTTGCAGTCTCCTCTTTTAGTGCGTGGTCTGAAGTGGTTTAGACCACGGTCTACCGCAATAAATCGTAACAGACCGCGACACACTACCTACTACCTTGGATAAAAATAACACTAAATTGAACCTCAATATGTGTATTTGAAGAACAAAGTTAGTTGATTCTTCATCTAGTTGAGAGCCAACAAATTGCAAAATGATCGCTTATATGTTATCTCCTTATCAAAGTCGATAAAAATTAAACACTACAAAAAAATTCGTTCACCTTGATGAGATACGGAAAATTATTGAGAGATATGCGACCATCTTAGTGGTTCGAAATTACCTCGACGTCATCAAAAAGGTTATCAACTGGGAGAACCTTCGGATCACTCGAGAGAGGAGAGAAGAGGTAGCACAAAGAGGAATAGGGAAATAAGGCTATTTGAAAATTGAAAAAACCTACTTCTATCCTCATATTTCTTCTCATGTTATACGGTCACAATTTTTTTGTTTCACTAGCATATTGGTCACTAGATTTTTTTTATAGATACCGGCGAAGGGTTGGAGGGCGAACAAGAGTTAATTTTTTTTAACATGGTATGTCTGGTGGTCCAGACCGTACCGGACCGCACCGCATAGGTGTGGTCTGGTCTGGAGCGTGTAGTATATGGTCTGATCCATGATCTGCGTTCCAACATCTCGGTCTGGACCACAGACCGTATCTATGATCTGGTCTGGACCGGACCGCACCGTTTCCCAACCCTACCGACGGCGATCAGAATATTGCCATTTGTGGTCGGTGGGATTTCCTGTTGGCGGTGGGCAGAAGCTATTACAATTTACAGGTGAGGGATAATTGTGGAGGGTTGGGAATTTGATTTCAAGGGTAAAATCGTATTGTGATTTAAAATTGTGGACGATAAATAATAATCTTACGGGCGGTAAATAGCGATTCATATTCTATTCATATACTGTCTTTAGTTAGGCAGTCAGTCGACACCGCTGCCAGAGACTGAAAGGAAGTGGCCCCACCGGCGAAAGCCACGTATCCGTCGTGAGTTTGCAACTGCTGTTTGTCTGCTGCACCAAGCTGGGTGCTTTGCTGTCACTACACTAGCGTGTCCAAATTTCATACGTCTGTCATTCTACTCAAATAAAATAAAATAAAACTTGCACTTTCTTATTATCACCCTTTCTTTTCTCAAATAAAAAATGAAGTCGGCTAGGTTCACTATACTGGGTGATGGGCTGGCTGAGGTGAAATAGTTCAATGGCTAGCAAGTCAGATGACATTCAACGAGCAAATTTGAGTGTGTAAATTGAATGTGAGAGTGAACTTTGACGTACGGCAAGCTGAGGAGTAAAAATTGTTTCTCAAAAAAAAAAAAAAAGTTGAGTAAGTAAAATGTTATTTTGGAAAGAAAAAAAAAAGTTAAACTAATTCTCATAATAAATAGTGAAATGAATGGTTTGCATACACATGAATCGACCTCCAAAGTTTGTGGACAACGGAGGCTGATATAATCCAGAACCGGGAGGAATTCTTAGATGTTTGAACCCCAAAAAAAAAAAAAAAAAAAAGACATAAATGCCAAGCTCACAAAAAATTCTGAGCTACCAAATACTGAAGTATTTAGATTTGCAGAGAAACACAGCCTCCAGTAGAAGAACATCGACACGGAAGGACTGATTCCCTTAGTTATTCTAGTGACAGGCATGACTTCATTCTTAAGGATGGTTCTCTTCGTTCGCATCATCACTCGGCTTATCAAGCCCACCAGGAATTTTGCCCGGGTAGTTAGTGGTCGACAACACTGAGCCTATCATACTGTAGACAAGAGAAAACATGATCACTGTGAGCATATCATCGGCAAGCTTTTCATGATTGCGACTACGATTAATATGAGAACCCTGCTTACCATCTATCAACGATTACCATTGACCGTAGCTCACAGTTAGCAAAGCTGCAGCAAGTACAGGTATAAGTTATACAGTATAACATTCAGTTGAAGAAAATGCAAAAACTTGGATAATGAGAAAGTTAGTTAACCAACCAAAGGGATGCACTTACTGTGTGCATATTTCTTCTTTTATAGAAATGTCACAATCGTTTCCGAAATGGCTTAGTGCATGGTACAAGAAGCCACTATGGCTAACAACAGCTATCTCCTTCTCTTTTCGAGTCCATAACCTGGCACAAATTCACAAATCCATGGCAGAAAAAGAGGAGAATCAAGAACTCAAGAAAACATTGAACCAAGGAACCAAAGCTATCTAGGTGTTGCATTTCACATTAGCATTCTGCTACATATTATATGAATAATAGTTGAATAAACATTCACAACTACAGATGCTAAGATAGTAAAACATGAAGGAGGGAATCAAAACAACTACCCACCAATTAAAGAACTGAAGGCCTCTGGCTGCAAGTTCGTCATCCTTCTCACGGATGTCAGCCTTCCACAACTCATCATTATTGTTTTGGATCTACATGAAAATTCCACACCAAACAGCTTATAATTACACCATTACGAGCAGGAAGCTTCATCAAGTTACTATTGAGCATACACTACTTGCCAGTGAGAAATCAATTGCAGGAAACAGAGGTTGATAATCGCTAATGCTTCTTCTCCTGTCACATGGATGAACTCCCTGCAAAGAGATATTGGGAGGAATACAGATTTCACAAACAGCCCAATCATAATGTTGAAAATTAGTAAACCACTAAAACATTTCCAGAGTATGTTGTGGATATTGGCGCAACAAACTAACTGATAGTTCACTGTTTTGATGTTAGAAAAAGAGTCAATACATTCTTCAAAAGACAACAATACCAAGTGCTGCAAGTGGTCTATCATCATCAGAATAGTAGGAAGTCATACCAAATGTTCCCGACATAGCTCTACTGCAAGAAAAGGAGGGCAGTCTAAACTAGAAATGGCAGAATGGTCACTTTGGCCAGCATTTTCCACCATCAATGGCACACCGTCGGTGAATCCTTCACCCCCAAACACCCCAACTGCTGTTTGCATTGTCCTTAGAAGCAAAACCCAAATCTTTCATAAACACACAAACTCTGGTAGCCACAAAAACGTTGTGCTTTTTTGAACGAGAAATAAGCATATCGTTACCTTAACAAGGGTGAAACAACCACCAGTTCAATTTTCTTATCGAGCCCAATTCCTCGAACATGTTTGCGCAAATTTTCAACCTGGGGTTCGTAATCTCATCAATTCCAAAATCATACCATGATCACTTGGTCGCAAATTGGAAAACTGCAGAAGAGCAAAGAACACATTGAAACTAACCTGTTGCCAACCAAGAGGGGTAAGCCTGGCGTCGAAGAGTTCTTCAGACATGTACATATTGTAATCTTTATCTCCTTCCACATTGTGGACTCCTTGGGCGTGCCTCACCTGTTCCGTCACCAGGTCTTCCTTCAGTTCCAAGCTTAGCAAGAAACAGAACAATGGGTTATGAGATTGAGAGACGAACCAGATGAATGGTCTTGGTACGGTGCAGTGGGTAGAGAGTCATTGCTGGTTCGGCCTCCATTTTCCCACCTTCAACAATTGACAGAAAAACAACAAGACTATCCTCAGGAAACAATGGGCAAAAGAGGGTGAGACAACTCAACGAATGAGATTTTGGTTCGTGGATTTTATTCGTCAGACGAAAATCGAAGCGGAAGCGAACCTGATAGAGAAGCGCAGCAGAGGGGAAGCGAAGATCGGCGGTGACTGGAGATCGGAGATACGATTCGCGGCGGAAGGGGGAGGGAGAGGGTGGCGGAGGAGAGAAACAAGGAGGTTTTCGGGGTGGGAATGGGAGGAGGAATTCCAATGGAGTTGGGAGACGAACAAGTTGGGAACGGGAAGGACGGTGAATTTCTCATTGGCGTATGTATGGCGATGGCGCCCAAAAGAATCATTAAAGAAATAAAATAATATTATCAAACCAAAATATTTAATATAAAAATATTGGTCCACAGTCCACCACTAACACTCCTTATAATAAAAGACCAAAAAACAATCCAAAATAAATAATAAAAACATGAAGAGCGGACCGGAGGAAAGAGTAGACTGTAGACGGCTTTTTGCTTGTAACGAGTGAAAAAAAGGTGTTTTACTTTTAAATCTGTTTCGCTGCTAGCCTGCTACTGGTTCCTTTGTCATGGCTAACAATGATACACTGAATGTCTATAGAATAACAGATTAAATAATTAAAAAAAAAAACAGATGGAAAGGAGCGGGCATATTCTCAGAATATGCATGCATTAAGAAGGAAAAGGGAAACAAGAAATTTGATTGGTCAAACTGAACTAATAAATACAATTTATTAGTAAAATCTTTTTCGTATTCTAAAATAGTAATCAAAATTATAGAAATAAAAATAATTAGTCAAACATTAATTTTTTGTTAACAATTCTGCTAGTAATGCTAATTAGTCATCACAATGCTAAGTTGGAGGACACACGGCGGTTAACATTTCAATATTTTCTAATTTTAATGAAGAAAATATCCCTCAACCACAAACCACGGTCCTCGGCTCCTCGCTCCCTCCTTGCACCGTCATGGAGGGACGACTCTAAACTTCAGGAGGCTCAATTCTGTAAACAAAATTAGCCTAATTTTTTATTTAAAATTTAATAAAATTTATGCAAAATATACTTGTATAGCCAAAACTTTCGCATTTGTATCAATAATAGCCGAATTTGAAAATATATCACTTATAATATATTTACTTCCAATTGAATCCATTTTTTTAGCACAAAAATCTTCGGAGACAATTAAATCTGCATCCACATGTGCTTTGTTGTAGTCGCTAATATACTATACTAGGCTAGTGCCCGGCCTGTTGGCTGGATTGTTGATAATTTCAATACATTGCATTTATAAAATAATTATCTAATTATTGAAAATGCCTTAAAAACTCATCTGTCATGAGTAGGGTAAAAAATATGAGAAAAAGTAAAATTGGAATGAAAACGTATACCGTTCGAATTATGATAATTCATCATGAAATAAACCATCAAGACCTATATTTATTTGCAGACCTAAGCCATCAAGACCTATATTTATTTGCAGACCTAAGGTAGTAGTAAAATTACCGATAGTTGTTTACAATGAAAGATAAAAAGCACATTAGTAGGGGTCGTGAAATGATGTTGCTACTTATATTCTGTAGATGTATTCTGTAGATGCAGACAGTAGTGCACTTTAAAATCTTTGCTTGATTTTAGTACTTTACTTCTGTGGTTTATTGGCCTTTCTTCGGCCCTTTGTCTTGCTTTGATTTTGTTCTTCCTTTGGTTTCATTCTTGTTGAAACCCGTCTAAGGGCTCTTCTATTAGTTACATTTTCTTGAATATATAATTGTTTATTTTAAAGAGGATTTCCAAATTGAAGTTCTTTTATTTCAAAAGGTAAATAGCGATAATTTTTTTAATGAAATAGTGGAAAAAACTTCAAACTGTCATTAATTCGGCTCTTCAACTTCAATATGAACTATAATCGCATTAGACTGCAACTTGTAGTTGGTGTCCTACAATTTTGGGTATCAGACAATGGTTGTAAGTAACAAACAATAATTGTGAATAGAAGCAATCTAACTACAACCAAGCAACTTATAATTAGCCAAGAATTGCAATTATCACTTCTTTCGACCAATTTTGAGAATCGAAAACAACTCCATAAACCAAAGCCAAGCTTTTAAAAGAACACGCAATTAAGCCAATAACAAAAGAGAGTTATGTACTTTTCAACATCAAAGAATATAATTGACATAAAGGAATGAATGTCAAGCTTATCAACGTATACAATATGTACTTCAAGCACCTATTCAAATCTCAATAATCGAAAACAAGGTTCCGATAGAAGCCAATTAACTCCCAGATGTGCACAACTATTCTATTCAAACATTTTGCCACAACTAAGCAAGCACACCGAGAGTTGATAGTTTACCCATGTATTGCAGAAGTTTGAACTCTAGTAGTTTGTTGTACTCTACTACAACTACTATATCATTAAAATTTTGATTATGTCCATGAAAGAAGGGGACAAAAACATTGAGAGTCATAGAGTGAAGCACAATTACAATGATGAATTAATTTAGGAGATACGAAATTAATCAACTATTCTAAAATGATGAAACGTGATCCTTCGCAAACTACCAAAAGCACAATCTTCCATGAGAAGTAATCTGACATATTGAAAATCTACATATACGTTGCCAACCAGTCATTCAATTAATCTTTTCAACTATTTTTCTCTTAAATTGACCATATATTAATAACGTCCACGCTATTAGAGTCCATCACTAAATGAAGCCCCTAACCCATAGTTAACATTTGATTTTTTTTTTGACAAAAATCCCCTTACAAATACCATCAAAATTCATCTGCTTCACCTCTGTCGCCTTTTGGACAAGCATGTTGTCAGGTTTTGGTAGGGTGTGGAGAATGGGCATTTGAAGATTCGATAGATGTCCTGACGGAACATGTGCAGAAGTAAACACGACGGAGGGATGCGGTTTCGTCGTTTTTAGCATTTCAATTAGGCGCTTCTAGCTAAAATTGGGTGGCACATCCTGAATGATCGAACCTCTCTTCTTGCCCAGGTGTACAAATGGAAATATTTTCCCAAAGGGTGCTTCCTTGAGGCTACTACTCGGTCTCGCCCATTCTGGGACTGGCAAAACATTCTGTTTGGCTGGTAGTTGTTGGAACAGGGGCTAAGATGACAAATTGGTAATGGCCAATGAGCCCCGTTGCTTCATACCAATTGGGTGCCTCGGCTACACCCCCACGCTCCTACTTTCAATCCTCAGGTTTTCCTAGAAGATGGTAAACTTGTGGTTGCCGATGTTATATGCCAAGGGGAATGACGTTGGTGACTTAAAACTTAGCTAGTGGTTTGACCCGCCTACTTGTCGTGCTATTAAAGAGATCCCTCTTCCAAGACATAATGTTGAGGATCACCTTGTTTGGCATGGTACGACAAACATGGATTTTACGGTAAAGTCAACTTACCATTTGGCAGTTTTGCTAGACAAATAAAAGGGTCGGTGACTCACACCTACTGTCACTCTAGAAAATGGCCAAGTGTAACCACTTCCTAAAGCGTAGTATAGCGGGTTTGGGTTTTATTGTCAACCCGGGTCCTAGATGTGATGACTACTCAGTGAATTCGTATTATCTAGCAATGAAACTTTAGTGAAGGTCTAAACTAACAAGCAAGCAAAGAAACTAAACGCTTGTTTTCAGGTTAAGAGAGGTCACCCGAATATGGTTCCCCCTAGTCTGCAGTTAAGCCGGATTGTAATTACCAAGTTCAATCTCTATGATAGTTATACTGCGGAAGGTTCTCAAACAGTCTGAAGTCTCGACTAAAGGTCTTCAAACCCTCTCAATCTGAGTCTCTAGCGGGTGACTAACCTCCACCGGAGTAAACAGATTGAGGCCCTAACGAACCAAACCTCCACTACCGAATTGAATTCGGTACAGAATAGCGAATTGGCTCCTCGACTAAAGTCACCAATTCACTACCTTCAATTAAGGGTTCTCTATCAACCTAGGCAGATACTCTCATTCTAGGTTAAAGCAGAACCAACAGGAATTTGATCAGGATTCATGCCATTCAATCATTCAAACCTCAATCGAATAGAATCAAATCATAGAAACAGTACTTGGGTTCATAAAATCAATCCTAACATACAGATCTAGGGTTTCCCACACCCAGATGAATGGGAGAACTACTCCATGGAGAAAGAAGCAAAAGCAGAATCAGATGCGGAAACCATACTGTGAAGGATGGATTTCAGCTCCTGGACGTTGATCGGCACTCTTCCAAGCTCAAGCCAAGCTCCAATGGTGATGAAGATCAAGCTAGGGCACTTGAAGACTCTTGTTCGTCGCTTTCTCTCTCTAGGAATCGCTCTATCTCTCTAAAACTCGAATCCCCTCTCTCTTTGGCTGAAATCTGCCTAAAAGGGCATCACTGGCCAGAACACGGTCGAGGGCACGGCCGTGTTCTGGTCCAGCCCGCCCGTGCCCTCTGCCACGTGGTAATTACACGGGCACGGGCTGGGGAAAAAATGGGCGTGTTCTGTGTGGGACACGGCCGTGTTCTGGTTGACCCCGCCCGTGTTTTTTAGTTGGTGTAGCTCACATGTTGGGCAGCCTCGGCAGTAAAAACACGGCCAGGAACACGGGCGTGTTCTGAAGGCCTCCTGCCCGTGTTTTGGTCGTGGCTCAACCAAACGACTTCCAAATGCTCCGAAACTCGCGCTTGGCCTTCCCTTTGACGCTTGGGACCTGAAATAGGACAAAATAGCACAACCCGGCGTAAAATAGGCCAAAACACCCAACTATGCCCCGCAAATGGATAAGAAATAGGGGTATAAAATCATGCAATTACATCGTTATCAAACTCCCCCACACTTAACCGTTTGCTTGTCCCTAAGCAAACCAAGTCAGACACCAGGTAAGCTCAAGACATTTCAATCAAGCAGGCTTCAGGGCAAATCATATCGGCACAAAACACGTGGATCATACTGGCTTTCGATCATCAACACATGGCAACTCGAACGACAACCTAGACAACCACCATAGATGACATTCGAATGCAATAAAACCGAGCAAAGGAAGAGTTCTCTTCTGTTCACCACCCAACATAGACTTGACTCAATCACTTGTTCAAAACAGTCACTTCATCCACAAAGCTCAAGATATCAGAATTAAGACCGAGCAATCTAGGTCCTCACCGGGGTAAAGAGTATAGAGAAAATGAGAAAATGAATCGCTCACTCTCGACCAGTGGGGTCAGGACAAATTGATGCGAAAAATGCGCATGCTTATTCTCTCAATCCCTAACGTCTCTTCACCATGAATGCAGCCTCTAAATGCTAGAGTTCACATAGGGGGTGTCACCACTAACTAATCCGG